TGCTCGGACCCCCGCACTCGCCCGTCCTTCCTCGGGGACAAGGCCATGGAGGCCTCGGCCAAATTCATCCAGAAGAAATTCCCGCACCTGGACGTGCGGAGCAGCACCGTGAGCCGCTGTCCCCTGTCCCCAGTGTCCCCCTGTCCCCGTGTCCTCACTGTCCCTTTGTCCCCGCAGTGTCCCCACTGTCCCCTGTCTCCTCCTACGTCCTCACTGTCCCCATGTCCCCACCCCCTGTGGGATGTGCCACCCCATCCTGCGTGTCCCCTCTGTCCCCCTCGTGTCACCCTGGGTGTCCCCTCACCCTGGGTGTCCCCTTTCCCCCCCCCCACGCCGCTGTCCCCGTGTCCCCCTGTCCCCCTGCAGCAGCACCTGGGCCCGGTGCACAGGGACAAAGGTGACATCGTGCGGGTGCTGGCACCGTTCTACCACACCTTCCAGGACCTGCTGGAGTTCCGGGTGAGCCGGGCTGGGGACACAGAGGTGACAGGGGCGTGTCCCTGCCCCGGGGGACACTGCGGTGACACTCGGCAATGTCCCCTTGTCACCAGGACCACGTGTACGAGCTGCTCAACACCATCGACGCCAGCCAGTGCTACTTCGACATCGTGAGTGCCACCCCCGCCGTGTCCCCAGCGGTGTCGCCGAGGTGTCGCCGCGGTCTCACCGCTGTCGCCTCCCTGCCAGCACATCAACTACGACTTCACCAAGGGTTACCTGGACCTGGTTGTCACCTACGTGTCGCTGGTGCTGCTGCTGGCGCGCACCGAGGAGCGGCGGCTGCTGCTGGGGCTCTACCAGTGCGCGCACGAGATGAGCCACGGCGCCAGGTGCCACCTCCGCGCCTGTCCCCAGGTGTCCCCGAGGCCGTGTCACCACCCGGGCTGTCCCCAAGGCTCGGGTGTCACCACCCCGAGCTGTCCCCTCCCCGGGGGGCGGTACCGGGGTTGTCCCCGGTGTGTCCCCAATGTGTCCCCAACACCGGCGCTGGCCCCGGGGGTGTCCCCAACGTGTCCCCAGTGTGTCCCCAACGCCAGGGCTGGCCCCGGGGGTGTCCCCAACGTGTCCCCATTGTGTCCCCAACGCCAGGGCTGGCCCCGGGGGTGTCCCCAACGTGTCCCCAACGCTGGACCCTTGCTGGAAATGGCCCCGAGATTGTTCCCAATGTGTCCCCAACGTGTCCCCAACACCGGGACTGGCTCCTGGAGTGTCCCCAACGTGTCCCCAGTGCCGCACCCGTGCTGGAACTGTCCTTGAGGATGTCCCCAGTGTGTCCCCAACGCGGGGCCAGCCTCGAGGGTGTCCCCAGCGTGTCCCCAACACCGCGTCCATGCTGGAACCAGCTCTGGGGTTGTCCCCAATGTGTCCCCAACACTGAGCCCCGCCAGAACCGGCCCTGGGGCTGTCCCCAAAATGTCCCCAACGTGTCCCCAACGTGTCCCCGCAGCGAGCCCGGCTTCCCCCGCCTGGCGCAGATGGTGCTGGAGTACGAGCACCCCCTCAAGAAGCTGCCCGAGGAGTTCGGGCCCCACACCAAGGTGGGTCGGGGGTCTCGGTCACCGGCAGGGCCACGCGGGGCTGGCACGGTGTCCCCATCGTGGTGTCCCCATCGTGGTGTCCCCATCGTGGTGTCCCCATCGTGGTGTCCCCTGCCAGGCCGTGAGCAGCGCGCTGCTGTCCCTTCGGGCCCCGTTCTCGCGGCGCTGTCGCGACGCGGAGCAGTGGAGACGAGAGCAGCTCCTGAGCCTGCTGGGACCCGCGGGGGACCTGCTGAGCCCGGCCACGTGTGACAGCGTGAGTGACACGGGGACAGGGACAGGGGGACAGGGACATGCTGAGCCCGGCCACGTGTGACAGCGTGAGGGACACGGGGACATGGGGACAATGGGGACAGGGACAGGGGGACATGGGGACACAGGCACACCGGGGGCTCAGGGGACAGTGACAGACATGGTGACACTGGTGTCCCCAGATGGCCTGTGAGTACCTGTCCCTGGAGGTGATGGAGCGCTGGATCATCCGTGAGTGTC